CATCATCATTAAATGGTAAATGTATTTGTACAGGGCTTTCTTAGGATTCTACAGCCCCCCAAGGCACATCACAACACAATCAGTCCCGTTCACACCCTGGTGATGATGAGCTGCAGGAGCTGGGATTGAACCTACAACTTTCCAATTACTGGACAACCCACTCTACATCCTGAGCTACTGCCGGCCTCTGCTATCCTTCCTGTTCAGATGAACTTCAAGTGTTTTCATGGAAAGAATGAACCTTTCCAAATGATCCCAAACTTCTGAGCAGCAATGAAGATTATTCCTGGGTTTAGCCATGCTCCTGCATGCATGTGCTCCATCTGTTTTAAATACTACATGTTTTAACGTTTTTAGGGTCATTTGTCGAATAAAACGTGATAAATTTTAGTTTCAGACACGTTTCTCAGTCGTGATGAGTTTCACGCCACCTCTTCCACCAGAGCTGCTCTCTTCTCCTCTGAGCTGTAGCAAATTGCTCTACTTTGTCAGGGTTTTGACATTAATTGACATCGTTTTGCAAGCAATTACTAAAATTCCATAACAGCTCAATCAAGTCAAATCTGTCTCTAATTCTAGTTCAGAGAAATCACAATGACTTCTCTGAACACAAATAAGAATGAGCGTCTCCTCTCGTCTGATTTTCTCCTCCTTTAACGAAACACTCACACCTTGTAGAGCTAATCGGTCTGTTCTCAGCCTTGATTTAAGCTGTCTTCCCTTCCTTTCTCGCCGTTTCTTTCTGTCTCTTCTCATTTGTGTGAACGTGTTTGCTTTTCTTTTCTTATTTGAGTGTTTTGAAACGTGCCTCATCTGCTCCGGGGGTGAAAGCAGCTCCAGTGCCACGTCAAGTCAAAGATGGGACCAGCTGTTCTGATGGACAGAGAAAATGGGGGACCTACTGCCAGGATGTGACAGGTTGGACCGGCTCAGGTGTGCAGGTCACAATCTTCTGCCACCATATTAGAAAACCTGATGAGAGTTGTTACCACGTCATGGTAAACTTTTGTCTGAAACCTGCTGCGACCTATCTCAGGCCACAGCTTTACGTATGTAATCCCTTTAAATAGCTGTTTTCATTATTGGCTCTGTGTTGAAATGACATTTTTATAAACAAAACAACAAATCTAAACCAAATCAACTGGAATAACTAAAGTTTGAATCTATTTAACCTTTTATAGGGCCAACATCCATATTTAGACACTTCCACTCACATCGTAAATGATGAACTCTTAGAATTATGAAATTGCACCCAAGCAATCATCAGAGATCAAGCTAGTCACAGATTGCGCCATGGCGCCATTCCACCAATCGGTGCGGGGCTATTACGCGCCAAATGTTGGTGTGTCTGCAGAGCCAGAAAACAGCTCGGTCTCCTCTCGCGTTTACGGTCGGATCTCTAAAACTAACAATGCTAGGTTTATGAAATCCTCACATCACAAGGTTGATTAGTTGTGCTAAATAAGGATACATGTGTTGTAAATGTTAAACTCAATGAAGTTGGTGAAATCTTAGCATGGAAATCAAATCTGCCATATTTGAACATACGCCCTGAACAAGGAAAATAAATTATGAATATTTTTAGGTAAAATCTGTTGTTTTTTAAGATATAATCTTAATAATCATGGTAACAGTAATAATACCTATTATGACATTGATTGTATTTTATAAGACTATAAGATTTCTCTGGGAAATGGAGGATGGTTATTGCACCAACCAATCTCGCCATCAGTGATGATGATTAACAGGAAGAAGATGATAATGAAGCAGATCCTCAAATATAAAATATAATAATAACATGTAGGAAGACCCAGGACACGTTGGAGGTACTATATCTCTCACCTGGCCATGGAACGCCTTGGGATTCCCCCGGAGAAGCTTGCCCAGGTGGCTGGGGATAAGGAAGTCTGGGCCTCTCGCCTTAGGCTACTGCCCCCGCAACCTGACTCCGGATAAGCGCATGAAAATGGATGGATGGATATTCTCAAGTGTCTTATAATCATCTATATTATTCAAAAATAATGTTTATTTAACTTGTTCATGTGTTTTATTTTGGGAAATCTTTTACCAGAACAGGCCATTTGGTCACTTTGTTTTCTCTGGTTTTCTGCATGAATATAAACATTTTTGAAAATTGTAGCAACAGAAATACACTTTGGTTATGAACTACAATAACTCCCTGGGGTTGAAATCTAAAAAATTTAAATACTTCAATGAGTGCCCTATAAAGGGAAATCATGCCGACCCAGGCTGAATTCATCAGCTAAAGGCAGCCGTGATGAACAAGCAGCGTGATACTGGAGGCCTGAGCTGTTCACCAGCTCTACGTCAGCAATAAACACATTTTTCTGTAAATTAAAGATGTTTCCAGTCTCCATGGTAATAATTAAATAGCTGTTAAAAAACTGCATAATAAATGCAGACACCACTCACAGCAAAGGCTTTTACTCTGAAGCAGCAAATGAAAAAAGAGCGTATTTATTGCAAAAGCAGTGCAGTAACATGTTTGAGTTCATCAGGTTTGCTGTTAAAACACTCTAATGCGGCACAAGATTGTCTGAAGATTGTTAATTTCAAGATATGCGAAAAAAATTAAATTTTGGGAAAATAAGACCCTTTTCTTTAAAATATAAAGAAAATTGTTTTATTTATTGAAAAAAGTATCAGAATATATCACTAAAAATCTCCATCTCCATAATCACATAAGAGTGTATCAGGATTTATGGTGATACATAATTGTTGGGTATTTTTATAATTGTACCTTTTTGAGGCCTGAAATATGCCCAATTTGTGTTATTAACACTTCATGAATCTCTGTGTCTGCCAACTGTGGCTGTTCATGAAAGGTTGAGCAGAGAAGCTCGTTTGCAGCAGTCAAGGATGTTTATTCCAACCAACCCTCTGTACCTCTGTAACCTGAGAAGGCCCCGCCTTCTCCTCCATCCTTTGCTGAATAAAGCCCCTGGGAAACTGAGGAGACTTGGGAGTGACGTGGGAAAAGCCTCGGAGGAGGCTTTCCCCTGCGTTAACTCTCCATTATTTTGGGGACTCAGGGTAAAATGTCTTCCTTGTTGTCATGAGTGTTATTTCAGGTTCCAGGGTTATGGAGATTAAATATCCCTTAACATTTAATTACCTAACATCTTGGTGGAGAATGCGGGCATGCAGAGCTGGTGAGCTGAAGGATTTCCCCAGGAGCAGGGGGGGCCTGGTTAGCTCCATGGAGGGGTTTCTGCGCCCAGCTCTCGCATGACGATTCATGGACATTACGAATAATCAATCTACTCTCTCTCTCTGTGTGTCGTCCTTTAAGGTAATATGGGATAAATCTAAAATTACCTATCAATAATCTTGGAAAGCATGACAATAGATGACAAATGATTTTAAATATGATTAGAAGATGCTTGCATCAGATTTAGATTTTTGTTACTATAATTTTTTCTCAGGAACCAGTGAATAAAAATTCTGTGTGAAGCAGACCCGTAGCAACAAACAATTACCTAGGGCCCCAAGCTGGTTAGGGGCCCCAGACATACCTTTACCTTTAAGGCCACTCCTGACTTCCATGCACTGCCCCCCCCCCCCCCCCCCCCCCACACACACACACACACTATGTTTATGTTTATTCATTTCGCAGACGCTTTTATCCAAAGCGATGTACAATTTTTAGAACCTATCGGGCATGTTGTGATCTGGTACCGCGTATTTTATGCGATATACAGACACAGTTTTGGACTGGAATAAAGGTATTTGTTTCTATAAACGTTAATGCAGTCATAAACAGTGTGTCCGTGCTGTCGCTCTCATGTAGGGTGGGGGGAGTGTCGATCTCAAGGTTAATTTTGTCAGAGGGCGGGTGGCCCAAAGTCCAGCTTTGCCTTGGGACCCCAAATACCTTGAAACAGCCCTGCTGAGAAGCACATCATTCCTCCAGTTCTGTGGCCTAGCTGCTTTGCTCTGCAGTGATAAAAGTTTTGGAACACGGTGTCCGATCCGTCCAGAACCTCGGACTGTTTTTGCTTTCCCGGTCCGTCTGCGGGGGAGTTAGGGGAGTTGTTTCTATTTGGAGTGCTGTTTACCTATCACATCTGCCTCAGGGGTAATTAACTGTTTCCATGTGCTCTAATTGCCAATTTAGTCCTCTGTGTTTGTGTCTTGATTTATTCAGTCAAAGATGTCAATCAAGCTGGGTGGGGTTTCCATGGCGATGAGGCAAATATGGAGGTTATTCTTTTTTTTTTCAAAACTAAATGAACTACAGCATCCTTTGCTGTTGCTATAGAAAAGCAATTACCTTAAAGTGTATGTGTGCCGCACTAATGCGTTGTGACTTCTTCGTTTGATTGGAGCTTTCCACTTTTCCCCTCCATCACTCTTGTTCTTGGACATCTGAAGAGTCAGCTTTCAGAAGTGTCAGCATCCACCTCCTTTTCAGCACTGAACTTAAAAAAAACAGACCCAGGTGCATTCCTGCCTTCCATCAAGCGAGGACATTCTCCACTTAGCGCAGGACCACCTGCTCAGGCTCAGGTGACTGCAGAGGCTCGAGCCGGCCTGCAGCATGACTGGGTACCAATCTGGGTCTGACTCTTCATCCTCTCACTGGGAACATCTGAGTGGGCGTGAGTCCTTATTTAGATCCTCATTAATTGTGTTTCTCTGTTAAAGATGTTGGAAACTGGGCCGCCACAATCTTCCATCTCCATTCATCCGACAGAATAAAAATCAGCTCTCATCACCGCTGAGCTACCGTGAGCAATGGGATTAATCAGTCGAAGACGGTACATCTAGCTGCAAATTAAGTACGTGCTCGTCACTGAGCGCACGGCGCCACGTGGCTCCGGTGATATTTTGGTGACAGGTTGAGTGGGTGACTTTCTTACGATAACAAAACATCAAACCAACTCTGGCCAGCTTAAACAGCTTCTGGAGAATAACATGAAAGTTATCGTTAGTGCCCACATAAATGGACGCAGTAAGAAGGGTCATAAACAACAAAGTTCTGAACAAATAATTTAATATCTGAAGTTTCACCAAGAGTTTGTACAGAGCTGTTGTATTTTACTGTTGGCTGCTCCGGTGCTGACGACGACCAGAGCTGGATGCTTTCAGAGATCCGTCGCTCATCCTTGATGCAGACGGTGTCTGCACACAGCCGTCTTCTCTGTCTTCCTCTGAAAACAAATACAGCCAGAAAATCAGAAGATGAGCAGACCCAGAGCTCTCGTTGAACCGTTTATCGTGTCACTAAAGAAAAGCTTGAGTTTTACCAGTCAGCAGCAGGTGATGACAGCCATGAAAGGACACAAATACGAACAAAAGTGGCAGAATATTCATCAACATTTTGTTGCAATTGTGTTAAAAAAGACATTTCCCCAATAGCCTTTCAGCTCTGCTCCAGATAGACAGATTCGTGCAGTAAGACGTATTGTACACACTTTGACCTGCACAAAATCCTGCTCTGTAGTCATGATTCAGTCAGTAGTGACTCCACGCTGCTCTTTGCTGCCCTCACAAGCCTCTCAGAGGAATTTTTCATCCTCTAATGGAAAACATGAGCGCCTGTGAACTGACTGTCTGATTAAGGCCAAAAACACCGACTCCAGGTGTCAAAGAGGCTGAAATGCATTCAAAAGTCCTTTTTCCTCGCAGAAAGCTGATGTTTTCACTCTGTATACAACTCTTAGACATCAATGAGTTTATTGCATGCTTGGGCTTTATGTTTTGAATGAAAGCTGCATTTATGTCTCTTAACAGCTACATGCTTGCTTAGTATGAGGATTGCTGTAAAGTCACTGGCACTAGTCAGTGACTTGATGCAATTTGCTGGGTTCCTTATATAGGAAACATTATTTCTGATTGGTTTAATGAACTGACCCGGATTGGAATGTGAAGTGCCTTGAGACGACTCTTGTCGTGACTTGGCGCTATATAAATAAAATTGAATTGAATTGAACTGAACTCTAATATAGTACAGCTAATATATATATATAGATGCACATAAATGAGTCAAGTGCTTCTCTCACATTCGTCTAAAATCCTCCACCAATAACACGGCTCCGACCAAAACCAACTATTGGACCATCTGGGTGTCAGTGTCACCGATCCGCCACACTACCACATTGAGCCGGAAGGAGAAGTTCTCGATTTATCGGTCGATCTGCGTTCCTACCCTCACCTATGGTAATGAGCTTTGGGTAGTGACCGGAAGAACGAGATTGCAGATACAAGCGGCTGAAACGAGTTTTCTCCACAGGATGGCTGGGCTCTATCTTAGAGATAGGGTGCGAAGCTCAGTCATCCGGGAGGGGATGGGAGTAGACCGGCTGCTCCTCCACATCGAGAGGAGCCAGTTGAGGTGGCTCGGGCAGGATGCCTCCTGGACACCTCCCTGGTGAGGTTTACCGCGAGAAGACCTGAAGGAAGACCCAGGACACGTTGGAGGGGCTATGTCTCTCGACTGGCCAGTAAACGCCTCAGGATTCCCCCTGAGGAGCTGGCCCAAGTGGCTGGGGAGAGGGAAGTTTGGGCCTCCCTGTTTAGGCTGCTGCCCCCGCGACCCGACTCTATTCTCCAAGTGAGGTCATGGACAACAAAAGATGTTTGGACCTAGAAACAACGAGTGGTGTTCTGCACTATCTGGTTTACTCTGGCAATGTGGGTTTGCAGTTCCAATGAACACGGATCCAGGAAAGACACCCGAGAGGAGGGGTGAGCGCTCCGAGACTGTGATTGCATTCAAAACTTGTTTGCAGATTCGCTAGCCAGTTGAGATTGCTGGGGAGAGGGATGTCTGGAGCTCCCTGCCTAGGCTGCTGCCCCACAACCTGACTCCGGATAAGCGGATGACAATGGATGGATGGATGGATGGATGGATGGATGGATGGATGGATGGATGGATGGATGGATGGATGGATGGCTATAGCAGCTTTAAAGATTAACAAGTTGTACTTTACAGGGGACATTGTTACCAGAAGAGGCTTCCATGTTGAGGTAACCATCCAGCAAAGACCTGAAGCCCGTCAGTCCACCCATGGCCGCATAAGGAACACCTTTACCAGCTGGCTGACCTCTTGCCTCCCTTTCCTGCTTTGTCTCAACCTGTGAAGAACAAAAGCAATACGTTCATAACTATAAATACTGTGTTTGTTTAAAGTCTCCGTACCAGGGTTTGGTGTGCATAGCAGGGCTGGCCACAGCCACAAGTGTACGGACTCTGGAACCCGGAGCAGAAGTCACCTGGGACGTAAAGGATTAAAAAACACAAATGAAAGAACTTCAGTTTGAGTGTGGAGTGAGTTTGGTTTGGATGCCATGCTTACACTTCTTGCACAGATGTGCTGCATCTTCCCTGTGATCCTGGAGCTGGTGTTTACACCTGCAGCGCACAGGACTCGATCCCACAAGTGGAACGAACCTGAACGCAGAGCAGAGACATCCTTTGACCCGACACGGTAGAGCGAGAGGTCGCTCAGAGGGCACCACCTCCCACTCGGTCTTATGCTGCTTATACCTGTTTGATAATAAATTGTTCCCATTAATCTGTCCGTGTGAGTGAGATTAGGGTGTGTGATGTAATCTGAGATGAAAGGTTACCTGTGGGTGCAGAAGCACTGCGTCTCAGGGCCAATCTGCTTACAGTCAGCACCTCCAGGTACACCAAAGCTCACGTACAACCTGTTCTGCACACGTTGAGGTAAAACCTTTCTCCTGTACTCCTCATATTGCTCTGGAGTGAAGAGGTTACCTCCATCATCCTCACCCACAATCCTTAGAAACACATCACAACGACTTATAACAACAGTTAAGACACGTGCTGATAAATCTGTTGCTATTTGTTCTTAGACGTCGTTTAGTTGCTACAGTTCTGAAAACGCTGAGAGTCGGGAGGGAAGCTCCTACCTGGTGTACTCCCAGTAGTCATCCACAGCTTTTAAAGCTGATTTATTCAGACCTTTTCTAGCCATTACCTTGGATATCACTACTTGTGTGTGTTGTTTTGCTGTCTACTGCTAAGCTCAGAACGACTGTTTACAACCTGAAAGAAGGTTGCCATAGAGATAGATGCAGCTCTCCCTCTAGTGGGCAAAACTCAAACTGCACACAAAAATCCAGACGTGCCAGACTTTAATGAACCAACGTTGCAAGTTAAAGTTGTAAATGTATCATATCAGAAATGTCCTTTTTATTAATGATACATATTTTTGGGGCAGCAGTAGCTCAGGTGGTAGAGCGGGTTGCCTCATGATCAGAGGGTCATGGGTTCGATTCCAGCTCCCGCCAGGGCTATCCTGCCGTTGTGTCCTTGGGCAAGACACTTCACCCAACTTGCCTGTGTTAGTGGTGGTCAGAGGGGCCGATGGCGCCAAATGGCAACCTCGCCTCCGTCAGACCTCCCCAGGGCGGCTGTGGCCACAGGTAGCTTACCATCACTAGCAGTGTGTGAATGTGAGTGTGTGTGAAAGCATCTTTGGGTGTCTAGAAAAGCGCTATATAAGTTCAATGCATTATTATTATTATTATTATATTTCATGGCAAATCTTTGTGATATTCAAAACCTTTCTAAATGCATCACCACACTTATCTTCTTTTTTTATATTTCATTAACGTTTCTTTGTTGTAACTTTGTCATCTTCATCACACGGACATCCACTTCTTTACGAGAACTGACGCATTTTTATGCATAAAAGTTAAAAATAGCATCCTCTGTTAGGAGAAAAACACTTTAAATTCTGCAGGAGTGAAAGTTAACAGCTTCTTAGACCTTAACAAGTTAGTGTCTTCTTTAGGTTTCAAAGCCTTTACCTGATTTTACATTAAACTATCATTAAAGGGATACTATGCCGTTTTGGCTTGCTTTTAGCACCCCCTAGTGTTTGTTAATAAAAACAAAAGTGAAACTTATCTCCTCGTTGTCATTTTAAAAGGAACTCCGCCTATAAGGACGTGTATGCCCTAATAAGCCACGAGTTTTCTGTTGTTCCAAACTATGTTGTTAGAAACATACAAACTATTGCTGTTTTTTATAAATCTATAATATTTAGTACATTTTTGACATACATAGGACGCCATGTTTTCTGCACGCAATGCACTCTGGGGGCGATGACGTATATTGGTTGCTCTTGGAAGAACAGCTATTGACGCTATAGTGTTTGTTTATGCACTCACCATATTAATAATTAAGTAAAATGCCGCATTGTGCTGCTTTTGGATGTAATTTCTAGTCAGAGGGCAACAAGGGGAGTGATGTGAGTTTACACAGCTTTCCCACTGGCAAGAAGAGGAGAAAGCAGTGGGAAGATGCCTGTGGACGGACACAACTTCCCAAAGATCCGTGGCTGTGTTCCCAACATTTTTCTCCTGATGCGTTTGAGGCTTATAGTCAACCACAACTACTTAAAGAGCTCACCAGAGCAGCTGGGTGTAAGAGAAGGCGGAAACTAAATGCTTTACCGACCATTTTCCCACACAAGGAGCCTAAACACCCTCAGAGAGACAAGAGATGCTGGACGCTCTCCTGAGCCAACAACCCACTCCTGCAGCTGCTGCTTCTGTCACATTCATCGAACCATCGGACACGCCACTCATGGATCCTCCACAAACCCTCACCATGACATCTTCTCCAGATCAACAAAACACATGAGGAATGGTTAGGTCAACTTCCATGCCCCGTCCAGCACTCTAGCAAGAGTAAATTTTAATCCATGGTTCTACAGCCGGGACAAAAACCACATTGATCCTCCTCAATTTGAAATTCAGCTATTGCCTGGACACTCCTCTCCAACACCTTGGAGTAGATCTTTCTAAACTGTGGATTGTGATCCATATATTTGGAACATACTCTGGTCCCCATACATACAAAAGAAAGCCAGTACCCTTGTCTGCCACTCCACAGGCACCACACCTGGAGAACATGCAATTTTGTAGAGGGGTTTCAAGCAAGACAGTTCTACTTGAGATACCCAGGATGGACATGGACAACCCCTGGAGCTCTGTCACTGTGTAGATCATGGATGTCCAAATGTTTCCAGACTATATAGGGCCACAGGGAAAAAAATTATATATAATAATATACAATAAAATTATATATATATACACATATATATATGTGTGTGTGTGTGTATGTATATATATATATATATATATATATATATATATATATATATATATATATATATATATATATATATATATATATATATATATATATATATATATATATATATATATATGTATAGTTTTTTATTATTTTCATTTATTGTTGTCATTATTATTCAGTTTAAATACAACACGAGTTACAACAACACTAAATTTCCCTCTGGGACGTATTTTTGAATGACTGAATGATTTGCCTACATTTACCATGATGCAACTGTGAAACGCAGGAGGACGTTCACGCGAGCCATGACATTTCAGTTGTATGCGTAGAGCGGCCAGCAACATACGTCGCTTCTGTGGAGGTAGGATGGAGCTGGTGTGAGTGGCTGGACTGGGAGAACATATCCAGTTATGTCGGGTTCCTAGTGAGGGTTTTAGGGAACGTGAAGGCTGTTCGGGACGTTCCCGTTCCCTGGGACGAAGCAGAAGCAGCCTCGCGGCGGTGACACCAGCCAACGGCCAAGCGTCACAAGTGTCAGAGACATCGATAAACCCGCTCAGACTTGACTGTTTCCTGCTTTTCTCCAGCCTGGACGGGTTTTCTAACTAGCTTTTCCTCCAAACGCACGGTAGGAGTTCTCACGCTGTTTTTAACATCCGTTGTGTTTTGTTGGGGATAGTTTGCTGACTGTGGTCGGAAAGCTAATGCTTTAGCTAGCTTAATTGTCTGTCATGTTTTTGGAGTTGCGGCTAAGCTGGAGCGGCTGATTTCTTAATCAAATCTCGTTTTAGAGGAGAAGGTCTCAAGAAAAGGAATCAAACTAGTTTCCTCTTTCATTCACAACGAGCTGGTTGTTTTTGTTGTGTCTCACTGTTGTGTCATTATTGGTTGCATTTATTCATGCATGTGCAGTCCTGTCATTTATTCCGTTTGAGCTGATTTTATTTACAGTTTCAGTTTGTCTTCTACAGTTTAGCTGATGAAGCAGATTGTTTCAGCTGCAAAATCGCGTCTGACAGCTGTTATG